CAAACAACAATGACAACTACAACAACAAAATAGCCAAGTATTGTGGCAGGCACCTACAGTCCCAGCTACTTGGGAGGCTAAGGCAAGAAAATCGCTTAAGCCCAAGAGTTTGAGGTTGCTGTGAGCTGTGACGCCATAGCACTCTACCAAGGATGACAGACAAAGTGAGACTCTGCCTCAAAAAAAATAAAAAATAAATTTTAAAACTGCAGATAAATTAAAGAAAATGCCTTTAGAAAACAAAAATATTAGAAGAAAATCTAAAGGTTAACACGGCAGGAAAACCAAAGCTCGAAGAAAAGGAAAATACATTTGGGCTCAGTGCCTGTAATGGTGGGTAACCACCACTCAGAGGTTAGGGCACTGGCCATATACACTGAGGTTGAAGGGGTCAAACCCAGACCAAGCCTGCTAAACAACAATGACAACTACAAATGACAATTATAACAACAACAACAAAAATAGCCAGGTGTTGTGGCAGGTGCCTGTAGTCCCAGCTACTTTGGAAAGCTGAGGCAAGAGAATTGCTTAAATCCAAGAGTTTGAGGTTGCTGTGAGCTTATGATGCCATGGCACTCTGCCAAGGGCAACATAGTAAGACTCTGTCTCAAACAAACAAAAAAACATTCAATTATACAAAAATTAGAACACCTTGCATGACAAACATTTCCATAAACAGTCAAGACATTTAGGAAAAAACTTGCAATTCAGATACAGATAAGAGTTAACACAATATTATAAAGCAAATAAGATGATCAAAACAAAGCATATGAAAAAGCAATCAAAGAAAAAAATGAGATGGCCTTTAAACAAAGGAAAACAAATTGAGTTGTAGTCACAGAAATGTAAATCAAATTAAAAATGAAATTCTGGCCAGGCATGGTGGCTCACATATGTAATCCTGGCACTCTGGGAAGCTGAGGTTGGAAGATTGCTTGAGCTGGGAAGTTTAAGACCCACCTAAAAGCAAGACCTCATCTCTACCAAATACAAAAAGTAGCAGGGTATGGTGGAAGACTGAGACAGGAGGATAGCTTGAATCCAGGAGTTTGAAGATCCTGTGAGCCAAGCTGCAGCCATGGCACTCTAGCCTGGGCAACAGAGCAAGACTCTGTCAGACAAATAAACAAATACCACCTTTATCCATCAGACAGGAAAACTCAAGAAAGAAACACCTCCTGCTTTAGGGGAGAAGGATAATGTAGGCCAAGAGACACTGTCACACATTTCCTGTAAAAATGGGAATTGTTACAGCCTTTGGGGACAAGAATCTGGCAGCATCTATTAAAAGCAAAAACAGCCAGGCACAGTGGCTCATGCCTATAATCCTAGCAATCTAGGAGGCTGAGGTGGTGAACTGCCTGAGCTCAAGAGTTCCAGAACATCCTGAGCAAGATGGAGACCCTGTCTCTAAAATAGCAGAGTGCTATGGCAGGCATCTGTAGTCCCAGCTACTTGGGAGGCTGAGACAAGACACTTGCTTAGGCTC